AAAGCACCCCAAGATAGCAAGTAGTGATGGACCCGGGCCGGGTCGGGCCCGGGCCGGGCCCAGGCCCGGTCGGGCATCGGGTCTGGTAAAGGTAGGCCCGTGACCGGCCCGGGCAATGGCCGGTTCTGGTTCGGGTCGGGCCACCCAGCCGGGTCACGGGTCGGGCCACCCGCCGGGCCGGGCCAGTATTTTTTTTTTAAATTAATTATATATTATACAAATTCCTATTAAAAACAAAGTTCAAGTGCATTTATTTGAAATAGGAACTACATTTGAGAATTGAGAAAAAAATAACAATACGAAATACATTTTCTAATGAATATCAATTGGGATTTCCGCCACCGTTGGTTGTTGTTTTCCCTTTGTCACAGAACTTCATATGTTTTATTGGCATCCCGTATCCGTGTGAACGCCCCAAGCAACACTCTTTCTTGCACCACTTGCAAGTTGCCACCACAGTCCGGTCTTCGGGTCCTTCCACTTGTCAAAATTGTTTTGCATAAGGGAAGATGTACTTTCCATATTTAAAATGGTATATGTATAAGTAGGATTGTAGGATAATAAGAGAAGATGAAGATGGAGAAGAGTTGGAGAAGAGGTGTAGAAAAATGTTAGAAAATAGATGTATTTATAGATGTTTTTGAACCCCACTCCCCACACCACCACCCCCGGGACCCCCCCTGCCCCCACCCATAGCCCCAACGGCTATATAGCCGTTTGGAAGGTTTTATTTCAAAAAAAAAATTAATTTTTTTTTAAAGTTATACATATTGTAAAATAAATTAATTATTTTAATGAATTAAGTAAAACTATTTGTACTAATGCATGCCAATAGCCGGTTTGTGGGTCCTTCCATTTATCAAAATTATTTTGCATTAGTTCAGACTTACTTTTTTTTATTACCGGTGGCGGTTTGGGATGAGGCAGACTGGTCGGCGTCGTGGCTGCCGGCACCCTCCTCCTCGGCCGTCTCCGGTTCCAATTCCTCCGCATCTTCATCCTCAAGCTCCTCTTCGTCAATGGTCGTCGGCATTTGTTGTTGTTGTAGAAAGCGGTTATTATGTCGGGCCAATTCTTGTTGGAGGTTTTCTTCGGACATCGCATCTCCATCTCGCCTTTGGTAACCCGTTTCAAAATCATCTCGGCTTTGAGATGAAGAACCGGCAAGTTCTTTACCTTTGCGGGATTTCTTCCTCCCAATCTCGTTCCTTCGATTGCGTTGGAGGTTACCCAAATCAACCGAATATCTACCACCTTCCATCTTAAAAATGTAACAAATATTAATTCACAACAAATATAATAATGAATACAAAACTAATGCAACTAATTAAAACTATTTTAATTAATACTTCAAACTAATTTAGGGCAAAGTAGAATTAATGTGTGACTCTAAAATTACAATTATAGCAACTTTTCAAGTACTTTAATTTAGTAAAAACTACTTAACTAATTAACTAGTATAATGAAAAATGTAACAAGAATGCTAATGAACTAATTAACTAGTATAATGAAAAATGTAACAAGAATACTAATTAACTAATTAACTAGTATAATAAAAAATGTAACAAGAATGCTAATGAACTAATTAACTAGTATAATAAAAAATGTAACAAGAATGTTAATGAACTAATTAACTAGTATAATGAAAAATGTAACAAGAATGCTAACGAACTAATTAACTAGTATAATGAAAAATGTAACAAGAATGCTAATGAACTAATTAACTAGTATAATGAAAAATGTAACAAGAATGCTAATGAACTAATTAACTAGTATAATGAAAAATGTAACAAGAATACTAATTAACTATTTAACTACTATAATAAAAAATGTAACAAGAATACTAATTAACTAATTAACTAGTATAATACTAGTTATAACTAATAACTATTAAGTGGATATAATAATTAGATAAGAATTAAATATTAGAGTATAATGGAGAATTGGAGATTGGAGAATAAGAAAATAAGTATATATGAAATATAAGTAGAGAAGTAGATATTATTATGTATTAAGTATATAGTAATAGTTTCTAAAGTATATTTAATACTTTAATATATAAAGTATATATTAAGTAGATGTAGTATGTATGTATGTATTAAGAGATATAAGTAGAGATTAAGTAGATAAGAAATATAAGTAATATACTATATATGTATTTATAAGTAGATAATTAATATATAAGTAGATATAATAATTGTATAAGTATTAAATAGTAAAATAAAATATAATGGAGAATAAGAGAATTTGAGAAGATGAATATGGAGATGAGTAGAGAGTAGGATTTAGGAAGAGTTGGAGAAGATGTGTGAAAAAATGTTTAAAAATAGGAGTATTTATAGTTTTTTTTAACCCCCCCCCAAAGGCCCCTGACCCCCCTGGTACCCACCCAACGACTATATAGCCGTTTGGGAAGTAGGTCAAGTGGGTAAAAGGCCTTTTTAATTTAAAAGGAAAAAAAAATTAAAAAAAAGGACCGTTAGGCCCGGGCCCGACCCGGCCGGGCCGGGCCTCCAAAAACAACACCCGAGCCCGGACCCGCCACCCCCACCGGTTCGGTGCCCGAACTGGACCCGGACCCGAGAACCGGGCCGGTTCCGGGCCCGTACAGTATATTTAATACTTTAATATATAAAGTATATATTAAGTAGATGTAGTATGTATGTATGTATTAAGAGATACAAGTAGAGATTAAGTAGATAAGAAATATAAGTAATATAGTATATGTATTTATAAGTAGATAATTAATATATAAGTAGATATAATAATTGTATAAGTATTAAATAGTAAAATAAAATATAATGGAGAATAAGAGAATTTGAGAAGATGAATATGGAGATGAGTAGAGAGTAGGATTTAGGAAGAGTTGGAGAAGAGGTGTGAAAAAATGTTTAAAAATAGGAGTATTTATAGTTTTTTTTTAACCCCCACCCCCCCACCCCCCAAAGGCCCCTGACCCCCCCCTGGTACCCACCCAACGGCTATATAGCCGTTTGGGAAGTAGGTCAAGTGGGTAAAAGGCCTTTTTAATTTAAAAGGAAAAAAAAATTAAAAAAAAGGACCGTTAGGCCCGGGCCCGACCCGGCCGGGCCGGGCCTCCAAAAACAACACCCGAGCCCGGACCCGCCACCCCCACCGGTTCGGTGCCCGAACCGGACCCGGACCCGAGAACCGGGCCGGTTCCGGGCCCGTACAGTATATTTAATACTTTAATATATAAAGTATATATTAAGTAGATGTAGTATGTATGTATGTATGTATGTATGTATTAAGAGATACAAGTAGAAATTAAGTAGATAAGAAATATAAGTAATATATTATATGTATTTATAAGTAGATAATTAATATATAAGTAGATATAATAATTGTATAAGTATTAAATAGTAAAATAAAATATAATGGAGAATAAGAGAATTTGAGAAGATGAATATGAAGATGAGTAGAGAGTAGGATTTAGGAAGAGTTGGAGAAGAGGTGTGAAAAAATGTTTAAAATTAGGAGTATTTATAGTTTTTTTTTAACCCCCCCACCCCCCAAAGGCCCCTGACCCCCTTTGATACCCACCCAACGGCTATATAGCCGTTTGGTAAGTAGGTCAAGTGGGTAAAAGGCCTTTTTAATTTAAAAGGAATTTTTTTTTTTTAAAAAAAATAGACCATTAGGCCCGGGCCCGGGCCTGACCCGGCCGGGCTGGGCCTCCAAAAACAACACCCGAGCCCGGACCCGCCACCCCCACCGGTTCGGTGCCCGAACCGGACCCGGACCCGAGAACCGGGCCGGTTCCGGGCCCGTACAGTAACGAGCCGGGCCGATCCCAGGCCGGACGGCCTGAACCGGGTCCATGACTAATAGCAAGCATTCCTGAATTGTTATCATAACAAAATTTCTAAACATATTAAAATTTTAAGATTATTAGATTGATAGCGACAAAATCAAAACATATTAAAATTTTAAGATTATTAGATTGATGGCGACAAAATCAAATCATCACTATCTAGTAGTTTGAAATAGGGCTCATAAACGCAAAATATGCTAATTATAAGAAGTGGGTCAAGTGAGTCCAAATAATACCCTTACACCCTAAACTCCTATTGCACACGTCTCTCAAGTCTCAACGCCTTATTGGGTATGCAATATTGCGTAAGCCTCGATGCAATGTTGTGTATCCCAACACCATATGCAATACCTTTTATGCCATAGTCTAGGATTTAGTTGATGCACGCCATCAGGTGCAATAGGCAATAGCATTGCACAATTACAAACAATGTCACACATACGTGATATATTCATACATACGCTTTACATGTAACTGAATCTAAATATGGTAGGAAGGTTGGTGGGGCTCACTTGGGTGACACTCATCTCCGAGTCTTGGGTTCAATTCCCACTTAGGAGAGATGAGAGAGGTCTTGCTCTCCATGATTCTCCTGAGTAATTCATTAACTTAAAAGGAAGAGGATGGTAAGAAAGTAGAAAGGTAATGAAAACTCAACATATTGAGTCAACTTTTATTTGATGTATTGTTTCATGGAGTTTAAATTCAAATTACGATGGCATTTTCTTGTTCTTGAATGAATTTTGCAGATTCGTGTGATGGGAGCAGCCTAGAATGGAGTAGCAGGTTCATGTGGTGGGAGGAGAAACCTAGAAGGTACAAGTGATGCAAGTCATGTTGGATTCATGACTAAATATGTTGGATTCCCGACACCCGGATAATACAAAAAAAAAACTAAATATGGTAATAGTTAAAGCTGGAAAACTTCATTTGGCAGATCCAAAGCAGAACGAAAAAAAAAAATACACACGTAATGAAAACTCAACATATTGAGTCAACTTTTATTTGATGTATTGTTTCATGGAGTTTAAATTCAAATTACGATGGCATTTTCTTGTTCTTGAATGAATTTTGCAGATTCGTGTGATGGGAGCAGCCTAGAATGGAGTAGCAGGTTCATGTGGTGGGAGGAGAAACCTAGAAGGTACAAGTGATGCAAGTCATGTTGGATTCATGACTAAATATGTTGGATTCCCGACACCCGGATAATACAAAAAAAAAACTAAATATGGTAATAGTTAAAGCTGGAAAACTTCATTTGGCAGATCCAAAGCAGAACGAAAAAAAAAATACACACATAATAGCAGCAGCATTCCAGTTCACATATTATAAATTTAAACCAACTTTGCGGCTCCAAAAGCTTCCAAAACCACATCATGGAACCCAAGCACAAAAAATGAATCTTATTATTGATAGGAGAGGAACAACCAGCTAGTGATAAAATTTAAGACTGCCCTCCAGCTTTATTCTGCCACCACTCCAAGAACTTAGCTTGTGCATCCACAGTGTTATACCTGTAAAGCTGCAGCCAGTGGCTTCCAATTTCATGCCCAAACGTCCAACCACACACGGCACCAAATCCAAGAGACAGTAAAGCACCTGCACCATTTGTTTGAGCTCATCTCAATTCACATTGTGCTAAAAACTAACTCACACAAATGTGGAATCAATTGAAAGCAATTGTATGTTTCAGCAAGTGTAAGCATAAGGTCTTTATCACGTTGACTTCCATTATGTCTGTCTAAGAATTCAAATGCACCCAACAAAGGTGAACTAGCCAACCATGGGGGTTAAAATTATATTAAGTTGTATGGTTTAAAGATCGGTAATATTATTTTTGTAATTAATTAATTAGAGACATAGTCAGAATATACTAGAATATGCAATACCTAAGAAACTTGAGGTAATCATATTACTCCAAATGTTACCTCCCTTCAGGGGCGGATGTAGCTTGGTAGGAATGGGGGCACATGCCCCCAATAATATTTTCATAATTGATTAAGAGTAGGTAAAAAGTAAATAATTCTTCTTTGCTAAATATAAAGTTCCCCCAATTAATCACTTCTGTTGCCCCAACAACATGTTGTTATTACAACATGGAACGTGTATATTAAAAAAAATTAAAAGTTTAACTCACATTAATGAATAAAGTATAATGAAATTTAAAGTGAACTTGAATTAAATAAAGATCAATTTTCTTTAGGAACTCACTAATACTAATTTAAAGTTTATTACTTTTTAGGGTGACTCCAAAGTGGAATATTTTACTCATTGACGTTCCTTTTTTTTGAACGGTACTCATTGACATTCCTGACCAAATACTATGATTAATTTAAATCATTAATACAAATAATTACAAAATGCCCAAAAGATCTGTATACAAAATTAGTAGGGAGTATAAAATAGTAAGGTAATTTATCAATATAGAACTTTTGTGATTAATGTAACTACAACTTCCAATTATAAAAGAGTATGCCCCCAACAACTAAATTTTTTGGATCTGCCACTGCCTCCCTTGCCTGCCTGGGAGCTAATATGAAAACCTGAACCACACACTGTACTGTGATTACCTCTTCCAAATGCCCCCTACTCTTTAATCATTTCCTTAACATTCTTCATTTACCAAACAAAATCCTAACAATAAACTTTAGGAACCTCACTATTAAAATGCTTAATCCTTAAAGTCTATCTCTTTAGTTTCTATGCTACCCATCAACTAGGCAGCTTGTCTCAAAGTTGATTACAAAAAAAGGAATACAACTAGCTGCCTCAAATTTCTTTGCTTAGCAATACATGAATAGAAATGCAGTCACTACCAGCATATGTTAGGACACTAGGAAGTTTACAGTCTCCAAGATAAAATAAAATTCATAAAGATACTGCCAAGAATTTGAGAGAGCCAATTCAAAAGAATCAATAATTATTTACTATCCCGAAGTAGAATTAACATATAATCCCTCCGTATTCTATTGTTCTCTACAGCAGGGTTTGGCACAATATTAAGGAGAGAATTGCAGGGGTCAGAGGCGGAACTATTAAGTGGCTTGGGGGCCTGGGCCCCTGCAGGTTTTTTATTTTTATTATATATATGTGTATATATATTAATTATTGAAAAAAGAGTATTGGAAATAAGAAACAAATTGAAATAATGCGAAAAGCTAAGGATGAAAATGAACTGGCGTAGATTACACGAGTATTGCATCGAGTAGTATCTTCCTTATATACTGGGAGTTTAGAACAATGACATGACTAATGTATGGAAGGAAAATAAATAAATAAATAAATAAATAAATAAATATATAAATAAATAAATAAATAAGTAAGTAAGTAAGTAAGTAAGTAAGTAAGTAAGTAAGTAAGTAAATAAATAAATAAATAAATAAATAAATAAATAAATAATAAATAAATAAATAAATAAATAAATAAATAAATAAATAAATAAATAAATAAATAAATAAATAAATAAATAAATAAATAAATAAATAAATAAATAAATAATAAGTAAGTAAGTAAGTAAATAAATAAATAAATAAATAAATAAAATAAATAAAAAAATAAATAAATAAATAAATAAATAATAAATAAATAAATAAATAAATAAAAAATAAATAAATAAATGAGTTATGCACTAACGATGGGATTGGCAGTATCCCATATTCCCATCCGATATACATTACTTATTCATGTCATGTTATGATCTGATGTGTAATATTTGGGAGCAATCATGTGTCACGTATCTGGTAAATAAAAATTCATGTGTCCCGTTACTCAGTATCATTGATATATATAGGTTTCTTCATTACAATATGAAGTTTTCATTTTAATTAGTTAAATAAGATCCTGATAAAGCGGATCGTAAAATGAGACATGCATAGAGATGTCGATTCCTTGGCGAAAGAGCTAAATATGGAGGTTGTTAATTAGTTAGGACTCCTAATTAATTAGTTACAGCGAAGGATTTCAAGTGGTTCTCCATCGGGTTCACAACCATATGCAGCTTTTCCTCGCAAAAGAAAAAGAAAGAAAGAAAAAAAGAAACATATGCGGCTTTATTCCCAGCGTGATTGGATACACCGTCATGCAGCTTACTAGCTCCATCAATCTTGAAATTGAAGCCGTGCTCCTCCATGCGAAAGACCAGAACGGTCCAGAGTATGTAGCGTTGTAGCCTTTTCGTGCTTCCTCTTGCTGTGGCCTGCCTTGCCAGAGATCAGAATTCTAGGGCCACAACAAGTTGCCCGCCTTATCAGGGAACTTCCCTTTCCTTCCTACTATGTGCCCCTCCAAGATCTCCGAGCTGGTCACCACTGGTAGGGGTAATGAATAGTAGAGAAAAAGCAGAAGAGAAGGTGGAAAAGTATCAACATGAAAAAGTAGAAACAGTAGAAAAAGTAAAGGTTTTAAAAGAAAACTTACCAAAAAGGGAAAGTATAACAAAAATTAAAACACATCCCAAAATGGAAACCGTAGCAAACAAAAGAATACGGAGGAAGTATAGAAAATGAATATGTAGAGTCCTCTTGTGAATTAACATAGAAAAGGAATACACAAAGCATAATAATTTCTACATTTCAGACTTATTAGCTCAGAACTAATCTATAAGTTGGGGTTAGCTACATAATTTCTACCCTGCTCGGTCTAACATCCTTCGTTTAAAACAATATTATCATCAAGACAAATACAAATCATGGAGTATTAAATTTCTTACAGTATTGTCTATTCTTTGTTACATAACCAAATTGTATGTTATGATTTTACTCTCATGCCTCTATGAAAACACATGACCATTTCTCCCTGGTATTCATTATGTTTTAGGGAAATTGGCAAACACCATGGATCATCATCATTATTTCTCCAGAACGAACACATGCAGCTTTCATTCACCGCAGACCCAGTGAAAGTTTTTAGGCAGTTTATCTTATGCGAAATACATAACACTGGTGGGTCTGGTGCATTTCTCAAGAGAGTGGTGGGAAGATAAAGATAAATTCCTAATCTTTTTGTAATGGGTAATTTGATGCTATTTCATTTCTAGTTTGTTTGATCAATCCCTTCCCTATAAAAGTTACAAATTCTCACATTCAATGGTTAGAAGAGTCACAATGATGCACCATATAAGCATTTTTAACGAGATGAAATACCATGGGGGCTCTTAGAGTACTTCCAAGCCCACCCTGCAGTTGTAACACCTCCAACGATGCTTCCTATAGCACCAAATTGAGCCACTTCTCGAGCAGACTTCAGCTGGAAAGTGGACATACCGTTAGCTCAATATTTTTCCAAATTTTATAGGCACTACTAAATTTGAGGGATTACAGGTTTCTAGAAAAATATTACGTACTAATTATTCTGACAGATGAGAGAAAAACAGAAACAGGATGACTCAACCCCTTTAAAATGTGAAAATTTCACAGAGAGGGAAAAAGATATGCAATACAGTTTGAATACATAAAATAAAATTCTCAAATATCACTGATATCATTAGTGGAAAAATTTAATTAAAAAGGGGAAAAAGGAAATCAATATTCAAATATAGAGCGGCCCGGTTTAGAAGAAAGCCTTCATGTATATCAACGCAACCGAGTCACAATCACAACTATTTAGAGATGGCTTCCAGATGCTATATCACCATTCAGTTTTCTGGCATATCAAATCATTAAAACCACCAGATGCGAGGCAAGAAAAGCAAGCTACCACTCAGATGGAAAAAACGTCATAAAATGATTAAAAAACGGTACCGCGGGTCCGTGAACGGCGTCAGATGAAATGAACTCCTCCACGTCAGCGTCGGTCCACGAAGGAAGAGGATTGTCGCGCTTGAGGAACGTGGTGTAGCTGCCCAGGAAGGAGAAAGGATCCGCCATAGCTTCACTGATGGATTGACTTGTTAATCTGCGACCGACTCAGGCGCAAAGAGAGCTAAATGTTCCGATTCTCTATGGAGCCAAGACTCAATTTTTTTACGAGAAGGAAAACTGTAAATTTAGTATCACGAAAAAGTGGCAGCCCATTCAGCAATTACTTTGATGAAGTGACGCACACATGAAAGTGTGTCAGTCATTTACCGGTGATGTAGCACACACATGGACCACTACGCGTGCGTAGTGCTGGACTCGGCCCGGAACCGGCCCGGCCCGGTTACTGTTTGGCCCGGCCCGGGGCCCGGTGGGTCCACCGGTTCGGTTCGGCCCGGCCCGGCCCGGCTGCTGGGCGGTTCGGGATCGGGCCCAGGTTTTGGTGAACCGGCCCGGCCGGTTCGGGCCCGGTCCGGGCCGGATTTTAATTTTTTTTTTTTTGAAATTTTTTTAAGTTTTAGGTTGGATTAGGTATTTTGGGCCATTTGAGGTGGTTTGGGATGGTTTGGGGTTGAGGGGGAGGGGTAGGGGATCAAATAAGAGAACAAAAAAAAAAAATTAATTGGGCCGGTTCGGCCCGGCCCGGTTTGGCCCGGAACCGGGACCGGCCACCGGCGGTTCGGGCTCGGGCCTCCCCTTTCCTGGCCCGAGGCCCGGCCGGGCCCAGGCCCGAACCGGGCCCGAACCGGCCCGAGTCCAGCCCTACGCGTGCGTCACATTAGCTGACGTGGCGGGTAACATGCTAATTGACTCAATTGAACGTTTATTTAAAGTTCGGGAATTTGATTGTTTTTTTTAGTATGAGGACCTAATTGATTTTTTCGTGATAGTACGAGAATCAAATTGACAATTTTCCTTTGATTAATTATATATATATATATATATATATATATATATATATATATATATATATATAAAGTAAGCTGTATAAATGGTCTTGAACTATCGTCATCGTATCATTTTGATCTTCGAACTGTTAAATCTATCATTTGAGTCTTTAATCTATTTAATCTATATTAATCGAGTACTCGAGTCCTTCCGTTAAAATATTCCGTTAACATTAACGGTAGCTAATTTATTAACATCCCAAAGTCTTTTTTAAATATACATATATAGAGGACTTTTCATGTCCAGCCGGCCTGACGAGAACCGCCGTCCGGCCGAGGGCATTTCGGGCACTTCCCGGTGGAATTTTTTTGAGCATGTTCTTTATGAAGTCTAGTTTATCCATACCAAATTTCAGCTAAAAATTCAACCGGGAAGGCACTCAAATAATTACTTGAAGTTAACTGGGAAGTTTATATGTATGAACTGCCCAGTTAACTTCAAGAAATTATTTGAATGCCTTCCCGATTGAATTTTTAGCTGAAATTTGGTATGAATAAACTAGACTTCATGAAGAACATGCTCAAAAAATTTCATCAAAACATTCCACTGGGAAGTGCCCGAAATGCCCTCGGCCGGACGGAGCATCCCGTCAGGCCAGCCTGACATGAAGACTATATTCGCTTAGGGAAGGAGAAAAGAATGACGGCGGAACGACGGCGCAACCACCACCAAGCGGAAATCCATGGCATGCTGGCAAGTCCTTTGATGAGGTTGTGGCAAACAAACGGAAGGCAATTTGAATACAACGACTTCACGCTTTAAGAGCATGCCGGCAATCAGCTTTACAGAAAGGGATATTCAGGCCTTGGCAGAATGTCACAAGCGATCTTTGATTGGCTTCTTTTACCGAGGTAGACCTAGCATGGATAATCTATGTAAAGCGTTTGATGTAATCGGTTTTAAAGGCCTTTTTTACTTGGGTTTGCTCGAGAAAAAACATGTTTTGATTAGATTTGATCTTGAAGAAGATTACTTAAGGTATTGGAACCGACAAACATGGAATATTTATGGTTAATTAGAAAAGGCAAAAAATATATATATATAAACTGGCCCGAGGCCCGGCCCGGGACCCGGGCCGGTCCCGGGCCTTCCCCCAATCACAAAAGGCCCGACTAGGCCTAGGCCCGGCCCGGGCCCGGCTCCATGCCTAAGACCATCAGTAGTTGGGGTTTGTGTGTTGAATTAGATCTTACAAAATCTGGATTCATTGCGGTTCTACTGGTTTTTCTCAACCAGTAATTTATGAGAACAGACCCATGTATTGGGTTCATTGTCTTCACTTAGGCCATCTGGATATAAAATGCCCTAAAGAGGAACATCAATCCACTGATCAACCAAAAGCTATTGCACTGCCTAAAGATAGATGGGTGGTTAAACCCAAAGATAATACTGAACCCATCACATAGAAAGCTACTAAATTTACATCTCAGGAAAAAGGGAAGGGGAAGATTTACATTTACAGAAAAGCCAATAACTTATAACGCACGAGAATCAGACTCTGAGGTGGAGGAAATCGAGATGGAAGCTAATCCTTTCTCATCTGGGACTGGTACCTCCACTCCTATGCAGCTGCCTTCACCCGGCGATGACAAGGAGATAAATACCATGGTCTCATTAATACAAAATCCATCTACACATGAGGGAGAGGTTAAATCTTGTCCAACTTCTCAGTTGTTAAGGATGGATATATTTGGGCTGGTTCCATCCTTTAAAGCAGATTCATAAGCTGGGTGATGATTCCACATTGCATCATATTAGAAGTAGCTTGGAATATGATCCATCACTGCTTTTGAAGGCATAAGCTTCTGATGGGGAGAAGAGTTAAAATCCCTGCAAAGAAAAGTTGCCAACATAGTTAAACAGAAAGAAGAGCTAGAATTCCTCCAGAGGCCTCATCCATCATCACCAGGCATACAGCCAGAAGGCTTTCTCAAGCTTTTAAATCTATGTCCCAGTGAATTTTTTATTTTAGAATATCAGAGGCCTTGTTTCCTCCTGCCCAAGGCTTTCTACTCTTATTAGACAGTTGGGTGTTAGTTTCATATCAATCCTTGAACCCATGGTGGATAATAATAGACAGTTGGCTTTTTTGGGACTCTAATATACTTACTATTTCTCAAATCACTTGAAAGGTCAACTTATTCACTGCTATATTACTTTGGGATCTTATTCTTTCTGGCTCACATCTGTTTATGGTAAGTGTATTGTTTTGGAAAGAAGGAATGTTTGGGAATTTTTATGAAGCTGGTATGATATAAAGAGTCATTGGATCATTGGGGGAGATTTTAATGCCATCACTAACTACAATGAGCATAAAGGAAACTCCATCCCATGTTATGAGAGCATGGAAGACTTTAATAATTGCATCACTTACTGTGATTTACCTTGGGTGGGAAGTCAGTTTACCTGGACTGGTATGAGGAGAAAGGTATAGTTTGGAGAAGAATTGATAGGATTCTCATCAATCAGGCGTTTCAGGATATGTTTGGGGGAACTTTTAACAAGCATCTTAATAAATCCAGTTCAGATCACTCCCCCCATTCTCATTAAATATTTAAATGTCACTAGCAAGCATATTCTGGGCCTAAACCTTTTAGGTTTCAAAATATGTGGATTAGTCATCCTAATTTTAATGATTTGGTTGCCAAATGCTGGAATTCTAATACATTTGGAAGGGGCATGCGGGGTCTCTTTCTTAAACTCAAACATCTCAAAAAAGGTCTCAAAGAGTGGAATTCTGTTGTTTTTGGGAACATCTTTGAAATGGTTGAAAGCTGTTAACTAAGGGCTGATGAGGCTGATAAGATTTTTGTGGAGCATGCTGATGAAGTCAATAGGTCTAATTGGCATAAAGCACAGACAGAGTTAATTTTGGCTTATAAACAGGAAAAACAATTTTGGAAGCAAAATGCCATAATTAAATTGCTCAAAGGTGGGGACAATAATACTAAGACTTTTCACAATTTTGTTAAAGGAAGACACAACAGACATCACATTGCTAATATTCAAAAGGAAGCTCGCATCAGGGTCACAGACACTGAACAGCTAGGAACTGCAGCAGCACACTATTTCTAGAATTTTTTTACTGAGCAAGAGGCCTCTTCTACTGTGGAATACTGATAAGAACAGAAAAATAAAATCAACGGGGTGAACCGTTGCCCAAAATCAACGATAAATAAATACCGTTGCCCAAAGCCAAAAGGCTAAACCAACTTTTATTCCAAGATGAGCCAAAATGAATCCTAACAAGGGGTTTAAATACCCATCTACTAATAATTAAACTAGGAAACAAAATCCTAGAAATCCTAATCAACTCTAACTAGGAAACAGAATAATAAAGATCATAATCAACTCTAACTACGGAAACAGAATAATAAAGATCCTAATCAACTCCAAATAGTAAAGAAATAATAGAAATCCTAATTAACTCCAAAAGGAAACAAATCAGGAAAAATAAAAAGAATGAATATTAATTAAAACCCGCAACCAGTCCACGAAGGTAGGCTTGAGCCTGTCCCGCCCCATGCTCTTCCCGCTCCATATCAATCCACCCCCCTTCAAATTAACCTTGTCCTCAAGGTTGAAAACTCGCGGATCAGGAACTGAAATTTCCAGACATAGAATAGATTGGAAAATATCCTTCTTCTCTTTCCTGAACCCTTTCCTGGCCGGTTATTTCGCAGAATTCATGCTGCTTGAGGTCTAACTCTTCATTCTCCTCAGCTATCATTACTCGCAGCTGCTTAAAGGGACAATCATGCCCCGGCGTAAATGGTTTCTTGCACCTAAAGCATAATCCTTTCGCCCGCAGTTCTACAAACTCTTTCGGCGGAAGTCGAGTGAATTGAGAGCGTGTTATAGGCTGCCCAGACAGCCCTGACTTCATCCCCGGAGGCTGTCCACTATCTTTCACAAAGCTGCCCTCCGCACCCTGTAAGCTGCCACCAATGGCAGTCAACGGAGAACCTGTGTTTGCCCTTAAAAGGCTGTTAGAACGTACCCCCGACGAATGATAATTCAGTCTGCCACTTTCTCCACTTTGGACGGACAGATTATACTCCACTTCGCGAGCTAATTCCATAGCCATCTTCAGGTTGTTTGGTCGAAGTATTCGCAGCAAACTTCGGATTATTTCCTTAAGCCCACACATGTAATAGCCCAAGTAATGATCATCAGTTAATCCGGGTACTTGACTAGCCAGTTGTACAAACAAAGTATTGTAATCTTCCACTTGCCCAATTTGTTTGACACCGGATAGCCTTTCAAA